TCTGGTCCTTTATTCCTTGAAGTACAGTAATCAATAGCAAATTTTTCTCTTTTTTTCTTTCTTATAGTTTGTTAAGAACTAAGTTTTTTATATTAAAGTATTGTTATAAGTTTCTCAGTCCCAATTTCCCCCCCCAGCCTCCAAATTCAATGTTACGTTCTGCTAATACCAAAGCCCAAAAAACATGCTGATCACAGCTCCCATTTCACCTGCCTGGCCATGACCTTCGATTCAGTTTTATAGAGGATCCGAAAAAGCTGTACGTGCAGCAAAAATTAAAGCGCGGGAAAAAAGCGCGGGAAACTTCGCTGATTTTGCATTGCTTTTTCCTTCTGTTTTCCTTGGCGAAAAATATTGTTCGAAGCTTTTAAAGAGTACCTGTTTTCATTACCTTGCTTTTTCTTGTTGTGAAGGAGACAAAACTGAAAACTTAGTTATTTTTCTCAGCCCAGAAAAATATGCCTGATACATGTTCGGCGTACAACTGTACAAGCAGACGAGTGAAATCAAGTGATGTCAAGAACTTGTCATTTCACAGGTAAATCTTTAACAACACTTGTTGTGGTTTTTGTTTTATATACTTTGGAGAAAACCCGTTGGCTTTTAAAACGTTTTTTTCAATCCGATGGCAATTTTGCTCTGATGAACATCATGAACAAATTCATTTCGTCAATATAATATATATATCCCATATATCAAAATTGTAAACTTCCTGTTGAATGCACCAATCACCTTTGGTTTGCGTGTATTTGACCACTCATAAAGAGACAGGAAGTGATCAGAAATAGTCAACATTAATTTGCAGAAAGTTGTCCACTGCCATGTTTTATTTATACGATCAGTAGTTTCAACACCGTAGTTACGATTTGCAGCAACACCAGGTCCAGACTCAGTGCTAAATCAATACAAAACATTACAATTTCGCATGGAGCCTCATTCGGAAGTGGTCTGTTGGAATATTGGACAAACGTTTCAATTTTCAAAACAAATTAATTGGAATGAAATCAATGAATGGTTTGGTTCATGAGAGCATATTGCCCACCAGGACTGTATTTAATACTATGGACTGCCAATATACTTTAAAAGACCAGGCAATGAACTTGCAGATTTGATGATTTTGAAGATAAACATTAAAATGTACCTGCACAACAACCAGAATAAACATTAAATTGAGCTATTCCAATTTTTATCTGCACCTCCCTGTTGAGGAAGTGAGGAACCTTGGAATTTTCAGGGGATAGGTCCATTAACTTTCAAATTTCCAGGGGAGAGTCAGGAGTGGTTACATTAACCTTGGAATTTCCAGGGGAGGGGTGCATTAACCCTGGAATTTCCAAGGAAGCTGGCATCCGGGCTCGGGAATTCCAAGGGGAGGAGGTAGGGATAACTTTCATGGGACAGAAATTCCATGGGAGGATACATGTATATGTTAGAGGGAAATTCCTGGGAGTAAATGTCCCATGATGGAAGTTCCACAGGGAGGGGTAATTTACACATGGAAATTCCATGGACAGGCAGGGCCAAATTTTGTATGAAAATTCCATGGGAAGGCCTAATTTAAAATGGAAATCCCATGGGCAAAAGTAATTGTTACAAGGAAATTTCATGGGGAGGGGTATATTTTACATGAAAATTTGGGGAAATTCCAGGGGATTACTGACGTTAGAAAGGGGTTCCTCAATAGAGGTGTGTGGATAATAATTGGAATAACTCAATTTTTATAAAATTGGCATAGCAAAAGCACAACAAATTCCTATAGATACCTTATGGTTTAAATATTGGTACTGTATTTATTCACATATATTAAATACAGACAGACTGTGGCCTCAAATACATTTATTTTCTGTTAATTTTATAATAAGTAGAGTATATGACAGTGTGTATGCAAGGAAATAAAACATGTTAAACATCCACTATTCGTTTGTGTTTGGTGATCGAGCTAGGCGTGTCTTTTTCGCAGGTTTCCCTTAAACAACCCAAGCTTGTTACGTAGTTGGTTAAATGCCATGAAATGGGATAACTGGAAGCCATCCAAATATGCTGTCTTGTGTGAAAAACACTTTACACGAGATGATTATGTGAAGGTAGAAGGCTGGGAGAGTTTGAAATCAACTTTAAAACGCAATGCTGTACCATCAGTTTTCGATTTCCCTCCTCATCTTAAGAAGGCAGCTAAAGCTAGAACTCCTGTCAAGAGAAAAGCACCTAGTCCAAACAAAGTTCCGGTAAAGAAACCTAGGCTTTCCAACCAGTCAGTTACCCAAGACCCAGTTCCTGAAAACCCAGCTCCCAATCCAACAGTTATGCAAGACCCAGTTATGGAAAACAAACCTGCACCATCATCAGCTATGCAAGACCATAATTATTGCACTTCTCCTGCAAAAGTGATCCCAAGATTGAGAAGATCTCTAGAGAAAAAAAGAAAGAAGATAAGAGCACTGACAAGTAAAAATCTGCGGAAGGAAAAAACAATAAAGGGGTTGATAAAGAAACTGGAAAATGCACAACACCTATCTAAGGAGCAAAGTCAAAGTCTTTTATCAAATTTTGGTCACATGACAAAGGATTTGTTCACAAACGAGCGAAAGCATGCTAACAAATCAAAGGGTTCAAGATATGGGGATACCATCAAGCAATTTGCTGTCACCTTACATTTCTACAGCCCCAAGGCATATAAATTTGTAAGAAAATCCCTTCATCTACCATGTCCAGCCACCATACGAGCTTGGGCAGCAGCCATCAAGTGTGAGCCTGGTTTTTTGACTTGTGTCATTGAACACTTGCAGAATACTCTGGATGAAGATGACAAGGATTGCTTCCTGTTAGTCGATGAAATGTCCATAAAAAAACAAGTAATATGGGACAAGAAGAACAAAAAATTTGCAGGCACCACAGACTATGGTCCAATTCTGGCCGAAGACCAGGATAGTATTGCCCAAAATGCCCTAGTTGTCATGGCTGTTGGACTGAAAAAGCCATGGTTTCATCCTATTGCATATTTCCTAGTGGATCGTGTTGATGCCCAAATGCAGGCACAAATAATCAGAGAAGCAATCAACTTACTAACTGATGCTGGGCTTGATGTTCATGGGGTTACATTTGATGGTTGTTCTAAAAACATAGCCACAGCAAGATGCCTGGGATGCAACATCGCCAAATTTGATGGCTCATTCAAGCACCCAACACGGCCACACAAAACACTATATGTCATCTTGGATGTGTGTCATATGTTAAAACTGGCACGTAATAGCTTGGGAGACTTGAAGGTATTCTACACAGAAAGTGGGGACATAATCAGTTGGCAGTACATCACAGGACTCTACAACATTCAAAAAGGTGATATTTTGAATCTTGGTAACAAACTGAAATCTACGCACATAAGGTGGCATAATCAGAAAATGAAAGTGGCTGTTGCAGCCCAAACCTTGAGTAATTCTGTTGCTGCTGGTATCATGTATCTTCGAAACCTCAAATTGGAGCAGTTTAAAGATGGTGATGAAACAGCAGAATTCATTCTGAAAATTAACAACATGTTTGACATTTTGAATTCCAAAAGCAAATTCGGCAAGAGTTACAAAGGTCCAATTACACTACAAAATCTGGATGAATTACGTCATAATCTACTTGACACAATTAGTTATTTAACTGAACTGAAGGACAGTAATGGAGTAAAATTAATTGATGGCCCAAGAAAAACATTTATCCTGGGTTTTGCTGTGTCATCAAAATCAATCATGGCACTGGCTAAAGAACTATTAACAAGAACTCACAACAAGTTTGATTATGTGCTTACCTACCGTTTCTCCCAAGATCAGCTAGAAATGTTCTTTAGCAAGATACGAAGTCGTCTTGGTTGGAACAATAATCCAAATGCACTCCAGTTCAAGTGGGCCCTGAGAGCATTACTGCAGAAGAACCAGGTGACAGCTGCTGAAACTGGCAATTGCTCTGTCATTGAAGAAAGCAAATTTGCCGAAGAAGCCGATAGTGTGGATAGCAGGGTTGCTGCTTTGTTGAACAACTCCACCATGTGGCACGAGGACGTCCTGGCATACATAGGAGGATACATAGCCAAAAAGATCACCAGCTGTATCAAGTGTGCAGAATGTGCTACTGCTTTAGCCACAGAAGATGACGACGACCAACTTCCCTTGCCTCATGACCATGCATACTGCCAGAGTTCATCCAAATCCAGCTTGATTTCTTTCAAGACCTATGGAAAGCTAACAAACCCATCTTCATCAGTGGTGACAGTGGTGAAAGAAGCAGATAGATTACTCCGCCTTATGGTTCTCAAATGGAGTCATTTGCAAGATAAAGCCATTCCAGCACTGCAACGTGATGTCCTCCAGGAGGTGAGGCCTACTGCATTCCAGTCACTACAGCAGCACTCTCAAGAAACACACGCACTTGACCAGAATGTTCAAGATGACCATATCACCACCATAATCAAGAAGATAACATACCTCTACAGTAAGATCTTCCTTCATCAGTTTGGAAAAGTCTATACTGACCGAATTGTGAAACAAGGAGCACCATCTAAACGGCAAAAGCTCAACAAACTCATCCTTTTCGGAAACGACTGAGTATAGTGAATAAAATCACTTAAATCTCGACATTATTTGATAATTGTGCATTGTTCTTTTTCAAAGTACCCAAGAGACTGAATTGAACTGTCCAGTGTACAGTACTTGATATTCAATTTAGTATCCAATTGACCACAGATTTAACTTGTAAATACTACCTTTTAATGTTCTTTACATTTCCTAAAATGTTTAAAGTAAACTATTGGTTTACTTAACAAATGTAGTGTATTCTAACTCCTCAACTGGCCCAAGTGCCTTTTATCAGCGTCTTCGGCGAGCAATATATTTCTATAATTCATCCCAAATCGTCCAATCTGTAGCCAAAGACTTAAACGTATACGTATTTGACCTCAAAAATCAGAAATTTTCTTTATAAATTCCTCTAAACCCAAGTAAATGACTCGATTTGACCAGTGCCAAAGTGACGATATTTTCATAAAAACTTCGGCGAACGATATTTTTACATTAATTCATCCCAAATTGTCCAATTTACAACCAAAAGCTCGGCGATAAAAAATTGTTGCCAAAATATGTCGCTCGAAGGAGATCGGAAACATTGTGTCGCCGCAAAATGCAAAAAACATGGTTTTTCCTATACCGTTTCTAATGTTTTTGCCCTGAATGGCCGCCATCTTGGATTTGCTCCTACAGGTCACGCTTTTGCGAAAATAATCGTATGCAGTCAGCTATCTAGGTCTATTATATCTATGTATTAAATAATCGTGATTACAGATAAACACTGTAGCTTGAAACAAGATTACATACGTAATTTGCTCTGAACCAGTCTGTTTATATCTTCTTTTGATCGCGTGTCTTTGATGTGACTGAAGCCGTTCCAAAATATATCAGCCAGAGATACTTATTTTACTTTAAAATGGTAAAATAAATCTTTGTTTATGCTCACCATGATTTAATATCGTCAAGACCGTCTAATCTTCGCTGTAGCATCACGTTTTGTTTCTTGGGTTCCGCATAATTTTTAGATGTCGCGCGTAGCATTCTTTGCTCGATAGCGGTAAAGCATTCTTCGGTCGATAGCATAAAGGCATGCATCCTAATCGTCTAGAGTTCCAATTTCGTGACTGGTATCACTTGATTCAACCTTTATAATATACCCAGGAATATAATTGTATTCTGAGTCACATTGAGAAACACGAGTGCTGCAAAACATACAAAATATAAACAAATGTATAATGCGCGTCGTGATTAAGTCCCTTAAGCTACGTTACACCAGGCAAGTCCCAAACTCCTGTTGATACGCGACATTTTCACGAAAATCGCTGCTTAGAGCCGCATATCTCGCGAGTAAAAAGGGGAAACCGAAAAATGTTAAAGAACCTATTCACTAACTTTTTGTCCTCTACTCAAGTCAAAAAAATCTTTGTGACGTAAGCACTTTAATCTTATATTAGGTTGATCTTATACCTTAATTTTGGAAAGATTTATTTTTTGAAAATAGCTAACTTTTAAATCTATGCTGTCTGCTCTACAATTGTAGCACGTTATTTTCCTTCTATGAGTTGTGGAAGGTGGTTTAATATCAAGAAAAAGGAACCCATTCCTTTAATTGCCACTTAGCAACTGCCTTAGCAACGCTTTTGTTGTCCTGGGGCCGGTTGTATAAAAACGTAATTAGCGCTAACTGTAGTTAGCGTTAATCACTGTAGTTAAATCCTTAACTGTAATTAGTTAACTACATGACTTAACTGCGTAGCACAAAACGTAGTTAGTCGGATAGTTAACTAATTACGTAGTTAACTGTGCGTGGGGCTTGCGTGGGGCGTTTAAACACAAAATTACATAAAGTAAGCAGCGAGTAACGATCGCTGACACATGTTTTCAACATGATTGTGGACTCGTATTTTGCAAATAGGCCGGAATTTTATTCAAAACACTAGAAAACAGTGAAACATATGCAAGAAAACAAGGAAAAACCGCCACAAAAATCATAAAAGAATGCAGTTTTTCCTTGAGATGCCTATGTTAAACCTGTTTGGCAATTATATATCAGTGTTTCTTGGTGTAATGGACCATACTTCGTCTTACAGAAATCGTTCTGTGCAAAAATATGTTCTGTTTTCGTAAACACACCAAAGCGATAGCGTTTGAAGAGTTTATATTGTCAGGAAACATTCACAGGGAAGATAGCGATTGAAAATCTCAGGTAACAGATCGGAAGCTTTTCATTGTTGTTTTACTGAAAAATGTTGTTCACTCCTATACAAACGCCATTTTTAACTACGTTTTGGACAGTTAACTATACCCTAAAGCATAGTTAACTTTACTTTTTAACTGCAGTTAAGGCTAACTACACTTTTATACAACCGGCTTAACTACGTGATTAAAGTTAACTATTTTTTAAGGTTTTTTAACTACTTTTTAACTGCAGTTAGCGCTAACTACGTTTTTATACCACCCGTTTAGCATACACCTCAACGGGAATTACCCATATGTTCTCAATTGAGAATATTCGGTATTACCCGTGCCAGACTATCGCCTGCGCTACCTGACGCTGACGCTTTCGCATATCATTATATATAAACCA